GAGATTGATGGACAGGCCCTTTTATTACTTAAAGAAGAACATCTTATGAGTGCCATGAACATCAAACTGGGCCCTGCCCTCAAGATCTGCGCCAAGATAAATGTCCTAAAGGAGACCTAAGGTGGCTTTCTTGCACAAAACAGCCTAAGGCAGACACTCTCCACTGTCCAGGTTATAACCTGGTACCAGCAGACTTTGCAGGGAAGAAAGAGCTGTTTCAATCATGTAACCTTCTATAGCGGGGATTACTGAGACCAGAAAGAGAAAAGAAAGAACTGGTTGCTGGTGCTACATGGTGGCAGCTTTGACATTTTCTCTGGGTTCTGTTTTGTTTTTAAAGTTCTTTATAATTCTCACCTACCTTAATCCAATCTCTATAAAAGAAGCAGTCTAGAGAACTAGGACTGCTCAGCCTTATCCTGGAGTGGAACTTAGCCAGGGTCTTAAGTTTTCCAAAAGAAGGAATTACATAGTATGGTAAGGCAAGGAAATGGGTGGAATGTAGGCTTGCCTCCCCAGTGGGAGAGGTAGGGTTTTCCTAGCTTGTGTGACACAAGTAGCAAAATCTGATACTTCCTCTTCCCTCTGGATTGTCCCACTGTAGCTGTGGCTCAGAGCTTTTTCTTTGTTGTCACTTACTCCCTTCGTATTGGATATTTTCTCCTGCATCCACGGCAGGATTCCCAGCCAGTGTAGAGATATGGTTGGTATCTTTCTGATTTGCTGCAGGGACTAAAGTGTTTGACTGGCACGTGTGGCTGTTATTCTTTTTGCATCCCCTGTTCCTTTTCAATTTAATGTCTTCTACCCTACTTTTCAGTTCTAACTCTACTCTGTCCTATAGCTTTATAAAACAGGAGTGTGTGGGCTGAGGTCAGGAGTATAAGTACCTGCCTCAGGCGCTATTCCTTATACAAAAAAATATTAAATATTTTTTCTTCTTCAGTAAAAGGATGAAAATTGGTCTCACTTGTCTCTTACGCCATTCCAGTATCTACCCTCTTTTTTCACAGAAATGACTAAACCAACAAATTTTGTTTTTTTTTTTAATCATTAAGTGTTTTTGTACAAAAGTGGTGTTCTTTTGTTTTCACTTTAAAACACCAGGATGTTGGGGGAGGTATGCAAGAAATAACAAAAAAGATGCTTTTATAACATTTTTCCTGTTAAGAAAAGAAGAAAAATCATTCCAATAGTAAAGTCTAAAGATGGAATAATTTCATTTTCTTCTCTAAAGGCTTATAAAAGGCCCCCTGTCTATTAATTCCATCCCTCTTTTGTGTCCAGTGGAGCCATGTTACTCTTCAGTGGCCCAGGGGTTCACTATTACAGAAAGATCAGCCCAGGTTTCTGGGCACATGGCCTAAACTGAAAGATGGAAGCATCAGAGGATTAAAACCTTTTTTCCCCGGAATTTTGGTCAGAAGATACTTCCCTGGGCCAGCAGAAGGGACAGGTGCAGTGGCATTCTACACCCAGAGCAGAGAACAGCAAAACTCTAGATGTCCCACGTCTGCTTCCATTCCCTTTCCAGAAGATTAAAAAAAAAAAAAAGCCAAAACCACATGCCAGCGAAGAAAGTGCAATGTATGTTTACAAATGCTGGTAGCAGGAAATGGGAATAAGAAAGCTTTGCTAGCTTTTATTACATACAAATGGGAGGAAAAAAAATCAAGAAGATGCCATCACCACAAAGTAAACAGACTTCTCTTTTCTGGACCTCCATTAGCAAAGGAAGTCAGTTCAACTTCTCTAATAAACTGGAGTAGGCATTTTGGCTGTATGTGGACTGTTAGCCACAAGCCCACAATGCAAGGCCCCAAGTCCAGCTATAAGTTACCCCAATGCCAACAAGTGATGTGATGGTATCTTATAATCCTTCAGTTGGGATAATTCACACTTTTCCCTTCCTAATCCCAGAGGTGGGAGAAGCAAGTCTAAAACATCTTCAGGCTCAAAACAAATGGGAGTACATGGATTATAACCAAGTAATCACTGCAAAGTAATTCCAAGCAGTAAGAAATTTACCAGATTCTCATGGAGACTACTGTAGGGTACAGAGTAACAACATGAAAGCATCAAACCTGTATAAATAATGCTTCTTTGCCTTTCTGTTTTAATTAAAGAAATCCAGTGTCTCAAAAACTTGTGAAAATGTGTTCAAAAAACAAAGGGCCAGGAAGCCTGCTGCACCCTTTTGCCCATTATACCTCTTTTACTCGTACCTTCTGATACCAAGAGTGCAATACCCTCTGTTTTCATAGGCCCTAGTATATCAGTCTCATAACTATACCTCTAGGGAGAAAAAAAAAGAAAATAGGGAACCAAGGGAAGGGCGTTCTACTAGTGAGAAAAGGATGCAAATCAAAAGCAAACTGGAAAGCAAGAGCAGTAGTAAGGGAGAGGTGAGAGGCCTGAGTACAGACTGCTTGAGAAATCTGGCTGAGTATGCTTTGGTTTGGGGGACAGAAGAAAAGGCTGGACATTTAAAGTGCAATCACATTGGTAATAAATGGTCATCCCTTTCTTCTGACTCCTCCCCCAACTGGTCATCCCCCACACCACGATAGGCTGCAGGCACACTTCGGGGTTTAGAACGGCACACAAAGTCACAACCATCCTGTAGGGAAAAAAAGCAAAGGAAGGTAATGATAATCTGGAATATCTAACTTGAGGGTAAGGCAAAGTGTATATATAATCCAGGAATGTGCAACAAGAATTAGAATTCTCCAGGATAATAAAGAGAAAATGTAAAAGATCCAAGGATTAGACTAAATTCAGTCTTGGGGAAATAGGAGAAAAAGTTTGTTCTAATTAGGTCTCACCTTCTCCCCATGCAGGCCCCTTAAGAGCTATCACTCAGGAGTAGAAATCATCAACAGTGCTGTTCTTCCAGCTATGTCACTTACTACTATAAGGACCAACTACCTTGGTTTGCCAAGACTTCTGTGGTTTTAGTACTCAACATCCTGTGTCCAAAGGCACCCCTCAGTCTGAGCAGGCCAGGCTATTTTGTCACCCCACCTTGTATGCAGGCTACATACTTAACCAGTTGCCTGATTACTTACTGCTACCAAGTTGCCAAGATCCTGCCAGAAGGCTAAGTGGGGAAATTGCTCCATTCCCTTGGCACCCACCACCAGTCGCTGGTATAGGAACCCCCCAATGATATAGACAGCTACCAGTGATGCAAACCTGTAGAGGAAGAAAGACAGCTATACTTAAGAACTGAGAAAACAATGAAAACTAGTTGTTTTTTAAGTTAAATTCCATGGAAAAAAAAAGGGTAGCGATGTTAAATGAAAAAGGTGGGGGGTAATGTTCTTACAAAACTATTTTTATAGGCCTGGGTGGCTCACAACTGTAATCCTAGCATTCTCAGAGGCCAAGGAGGGTGGCTCAAAAGCCAGATCCAATCTCCACTAAAAATAGAAAAAA